ATTTGAAAATGTCAACAGTTTTTTTCCTTGCCTCAAATTCAGGCACTGGGAACCATCGTTACTACCTATTGTTCCTGTCTTTCCTAACTGTGACCGGTGTCTGGCTGATTTATGGAACTCTTCTGTGTATGTATCCATGAATTTATTTTAATTTAGCTTTCAAAGACGTGTGTGTATGGTCTTTATTTTTCAGCATTTTATTTCCAGCAAGTGTAATTATACCTGCGCAAATTATACCATATTTCAGCAGCGATGTTACCTTGTAATTCTGTCTTTAAATGAAAATACATCATATCTGAGTCTTTGGTCAAATATCCGATTGCGTTCGTGTTGAGTAAGAACTAAGATAGAGCTCTAGTGGGATGTCCATTGGAAAATACAACATCAGAAAGCACTTTTGTTAGAGGTGAAATAGGAAAGCCATGTAGAGGAAGGTCAGGTTACAGGTTCTAGCCTGGATACCCTTTACAGTAATAGAAAATAAGCTTGTAAATACATTATTGCAAAGGCTTTATTGATTTTTGTTATTTGGAAACATCTATATTGGACACTTGCAAAAGTTTCTTTTTGTTTTTAATGTAGTGGTAACTTTGAAGAGAACTGTGTATCTCATTATAAATCCAAACTGTTACTTTGGAAAATTAAGAAATTTCTTGGAGGAGAGAGGATGGCCCTTGTAATGTAGTTCCTGAGGATGAATTAGTATAGCACTAACTTTTTAAATAAAAAGTAGAGGGAGTTTTGTTTTGTATTACTTCACACGGTATTGAAATGAGTCAATATTCAATGTAGAGTGAAGTGAACCAGCTATGGCGCTGGAGGACACAGGGTGTGAACATGACTTGCTTTCCTGTGTTTCAGTAGTGGTCTTACATATGCAAAAAGCATATTATTTTTTCTATTTTCTGTGTGTGAAGGAACATGGGAGGAAAACCTCTTTATTGTTTACTGACATAGAGGCAAAAAAAAGTTGCTCTGCTTTTAGTTTGGTTTGTGGTTTGTTTTGGTTCTTTTTAATAGGTTCAATACATACGTGGTAGGCTTTAAGTATCTCTTAAGATACATACAGAATTTGGACATCCCAGTGTCCTGGTTTCAGCTGGGATAGAGTTAATTTTCTTCATAGTAGCTAGCTTAGTGCTGTGTTTTGGATTTAGTACCAGAAGAATGTTCATAACACTGTTGATAACACACTGATGTTTTCAGCTGTTGCCAAGTAGTGCTCAGACTACTCAAGGACTTTTTGAGCTTCTCCTGCTCGGCCAGGTGCATAACAAGCTGGGAGTACAGCACAGCTAGGACAGCTAACCCAAACTGACCAAAGGGCTATTCCGTACCATATAACGTCATGCTTGGGGGGTTAGTCGGTCAGTCAGTCGCGGGGAGAGTGATCGCGGCTCGGGGACTGATGGCGGCTCGGGGACTGCTCGCGGCTCAGGACGGGCTGGGCATCGGTCGGCGGGTGGTGAGCAATTGCATTGTGCATCATTCGTTTTGTATATTCTGTATATTCTGTTATCATTCTCATTATTACTATTATTATTTTCTCTTATTAAACTGTCTTTATCTCAGCCCTCGGCTCTAACCTTTTATTTTCTTCCCAATTCTCTCCCCCATCCCACTGAGGGAGGGGGGGAGTGAGCGAGCGGCTGCGTGGTGCTTAGTTGCCAGCTGGGTTAAACCACGACACCCAGTTTACATCTATTTAATAGCGGTAAAATACTCCTTTCTTGGTGTTGTTACCATCATGTCTTCTTTTGTTGATGATGGTGTTTAAGATAAATGATAAATTCTCATCCTAAAATTACAGATAAGCATGAAGCAAAATTTCAGAATGAGACAATGAGAGATGATGACTTATGTCATTATCATGTAAAAAGTACATAGCCAGTACCTTGAATGTTCCTTCTGTGAATGATGAACACACTACATAAAGATTATACAGCCAGAATAGCAAGCAGTCACCTATCTATGTGGGTGCTTTTAAGTGGGAACATCATACATTAAACATGGTATTTCTAGAGCCTATCGCTATGTACTATTCACTCCATGCAAGTAATCTTTGTTCAGTTCTTAAGTGGCCTAAAAACATAATTAACTGATTATGTATCTTGTCAGATTGGTCAAACCACTGCGCAACAAGTTATCATCAAGACGGAGCATGGACATACTTCACACAGATAACCTGTTGTTCTCCGTGGGTTTCCTACATCTTCCTAGTAGCCTGTTTTCATACTCTGTGGGCCTCCTTGTGGCTAACTGTTCAGCTTTTTCAGGTATTATTTTTCTTTGGTTTATGCTTCTCTTTTAAAGAGTCATCATATTAAAACGTTTTCCTAGATTATTTGCTCCCATAAAAACTTTGTGCCTGCTTTCCTTGACTAATTGATGTTACATCTACATGCTTTTCTTAAATCTCAAAGCAGTCCTTTAAGTTTCATGGGTACTTGTGCACTCAGCATTCTCATATTAAAAATAAGATCACATTCTGCAAAACGTTCCTATAATCAAATTCTGGGTTTCCTACTCTTGAAAAATTCCAAACCTATACAAAGATGTATTTAAAGGCCAGAAACTTACTTGACTAATAGAACTGGTATTACTACCCCAAAAATGGCACAAAAGCTCAATAGCACAATTAGTCCCAAAATTAAAAATACTATGGCAGAGCTCAGTAGTGCATCATTAGACTGCATTAAATCCCATTCCTACAATAAAAATATATGATCTGGATTTTATCCTGATGAGCACTGTCAAATTTTTTGTTTATATTCTTCTCTGAGTGCTTGGCTATGCAACCAAGGCAGAGAAGATCTGTCTTAATACATCTAGGAAACAGCTTGCTTAGCAGCTTTTAGGAAAGATGTGTCATTTGAGTATGTGTTAAGCATACTGAGCGAAAGACTTGGTTTACATCTTGTAAATGTAAAAAAAAAAAAAATCCACAATTTTAAATGCATACTGCTAGATTTCTGTAATGTCCAAGACACTGAGATATCATCCAGGGGAAAAAAAGAATCTAGGTGGGATATTTACAGTTAACTACTGTGTTATGTACACAGTCGTTTGTTAATATACTGCTTTATGATATTTAGTGTGTCATCCAGCAAAGCAACCTTGAAGCTATTCATAAAGGCTTATAAGACTTACGCTGATTTAAAAAAAAAAAAAAGAAAATGCAAAAAGGAATAGGTAAGCAAAAATGCAAAAACAACTCATAAATCTCATTGTGAAACTTGCATCTACTTCACCTTTTTTGCTAAGCTACTTCATCTTTTTGGGGGGATCTTTTTCTACCAATTTGTGTGGTAGAATATAAACAAAATCTGAGGAGATAGGTGCTTAACTACTGTAGATCTTGTACTTCTACTGACTTCTGTAAAACTACAGTCTTTACAGTCATCCCAATGAAGCTTGCCTTCTCAGTGGAAATGTTAATGTTACAGCTCGCTAGGTTCTGTTTTAGTCCAAGTGACATTTAACAACATACTTTTTGGTTATTAATATGGCAGTAGTTACTAATTTGTTAGATACAGCCAGCCTTCTTCCTCTCCCTCCCTTCTCAGTAGCATATTTTGGTATATTTGTGGTGTTCATGTTTTAACCATTACTTACATCTTCCTTTATGTAAGATTGCATTTTTGGGATTGACCTCACATGAGAGATTGAACCTCCTGATGCAGAGAAAATCTTCTAAGCATCCGGTTTCACTCAGGAGAACTCCATACAAGTGAGTATTAATGAATAGCGTGTTTTAAGCACATATCTTTTCAGTACGGATTTGCTTCACTACTTCATAAATGAAAAAAAAAAAGAAAAAATGGTGATCTATGGGCATGCCAGTCATGCCTGTTATGAGTTGTGCTAAGAGGAGAAAATGGACCTTGCTTTCCTTGCTGAGAACTTCCTTTGCCCTAGGAAATAAACACCCAGCATAAGAGCTACTGGGGTTCTTGCTGCATGGCTGTGTATATAGGAAAAAGATGTGCCAAAATCAGTCCATAGCTCTAATCAGTAGGTGCTGTTTTGGGAGTGAGGGGGTGTTGTCATTTAATTTGTACATCAATCTCCGTGTCTGTTCTGTAGGTTCAGAAAGAGAATTAAGGTATGAACTGGCCCCTTTCTGGCTTCTATTGCAGTACTTAGCTCAACAGAGAAATTAGTACCAAGGTTTCCCTGTTATACTAGAAGTCTGTATTTCCTCGTGTGTTAGCAGATAAGAACTCACTAAATACTTTAAATAGAGTTGAACTTAATCTGTTCTCGCTCTTCAATGTAATACAGGTTGCAAAAGTTCAACAAAGGAATAATGCCCAATAAAGAGCTGCTCTTATGTTTCTTCTCCCAGAGCTTTAGATCTTAAGTACTGTCTCATGGGAATGTGTATTTTTGATGCCTGCAGTCTTCTTTTATTAGGTTTATTAATGGATATTTCTCTCATTTTCAGTCTCGGATGCTTCCAGAATCTTGCAGACTTTTTTCAGTGCGGTTGCTTTGGTATGTTCAAACCCAATAGAGTTGACTGGACCAAGCAATACAACCTTTTTCATCTGGCAAAGGAGAAAAATGTTGATTCTGTATGAAGTTTTGCTTAATTTCTAAAACCATTTTGCTGAAAGATAAATAAAACTGGTTATTTTGTTAATTTTTACAACTTCTTCTAAAGTTGCTTGTTTTAATTTTTATTATTTTTTCAAATATTAAACCTATATTGTATAAGCTACAGCAGGTTTGTATATGGAACGATCACTATGTGTCTGTGTATATATAGTTTGAGCTGAAACTTTGAAATTTTATATGATGAGATAACACAAAGAATGTATTTTTTTAAAGGTAAGTTTTTAGGGCAGAATTTCAAAACAGTGTTGGTACTTTTTGCATATAATAGAAGAAAATTATGTTTGAAACTTAAAGGGAATGTTCATATTTAAAAATGTAATGCTACAATCACCCTGTAATTTTATGGCTTATGTTGTGAAAATCTCTATTTTGTATTTGGAGGGTTTACATGTAATAAAATAGAGCTTTCATGCTTCTAAGATTATTTTTACAGACTGAAATAGATCCAAGGGATATGTGACCAGTGAGGTATTTTAACAGGTAAGCACAAAACCAAAGAGAAAGCCTGACTCTGCCTTATATTTTGCATGTATACATGCCCTGAAAGTGTATGAAAGTGGGTAAGTTGATGATGGAAAATAACAATGTCTATAAAAAGAGGGAATTCTTCCCAGCTGCACGCATAGCTCTGTAATAGTCAGATGTCAGCCACGTTCCCAAGAAAAGGCTACAGCGTCAGTCTGGAGTGGCTGGCTAGGCAGCGTGGTTTTGAATGTAAGTCAAAGTAGGTAATAATGAAAACCAGCAGGGAAATAGATCAAGATCAGAAAATTAAAGTTAAATACCATCTAGAACTGGCAACATAAGACCAATGATGAAATAGAATTCTTGTAGTTAAGAAATGGGGGATTTCATTCATTTCAGTTAAATGCATTTATCTGCAACATTATGGAACATAAAGCACAAGCAAATTCAAGTAAAAATAATGTGAAGCAATACCAATACTTTATTGTAGCTTGAAAACATACAATAACAGAACTTACAACACTGTATTCTACGAAAATGTTGTTTTTCTTCAGAAATATCTCCCTTTGAGAGAAAGAATTTCAAATACTTTTTAATTGTCTCAAAGTGAATGACATCTACTTTGCAATAACACAAAATGTCAAAACATTCAAAACTCCTCTAGGAGATTGGTAGAAATATAGACAGCATAACATTCTGAACAAAGGAAAACACGGCCTAAGCTGGAACACTTGGAACACTTGCACTCCATAAAATACTCTATCTTAATGGGACAGTATGCTGAATTTTTAAAACTCTGGTCTAAAGTGTGGTAAATACTAGTTTAAGAAGCAGTAATGTTCCATGAATAATGTTCCATGAGTCTTTTTGTCTTTATGTACTGTAAAACAAACATTAATTTAGTTTTATCACTGTGCCTTTTTAAGCTATTCTAACAATTTCTTAAGATATAAGCTCACAAGTTTTTCCTGCAAGGTGGAAAACGTTAAACAAATGCCCTAGGTTCTTAGCAACATGTGGTGTTTAACATTTTACTTGAAGGCTATCACTTGGTGGCATCAACAGCAGTTTGAGTTTGGTGCATCCATTTCTT